CCTCAGTGCAACTGCACTGAGTCGACGGTACGACTGCCTACAGTCAGCAGAAGGGTCTAGAGAGTCCCAGTCCAGTCCAGCAAGTACCACAGGGGGACTGTGAGCACCAAGGGCCGATGGCAAAGGGCAGACCAACGAATTTCTGAAGTATAAATCAAGAGGCAGCGCCCAGCCATTCATTCATTCCTGCGTGAGCCATGCGGAAGTGCTGCCACAGCGACTTGTGCAAGGAGGTCTGCAGATGAGCCCGGAGGACGCAGCGGGCAAGAGAGGAGGAGTTAGCATAGCGATAGGTTGGAGGCAGCCATAGCTGCCATAGCTATAGTTAGTAGTGAGTGTGTGTGTGTGCTCGAGTGTTAGAGTGATGCGTGTGGGATATCCAGGGTGATCCAGTGTATGTGAACAGTGAGATGTTTGTGCGCTGAGGTCGTCATAGCCAATTGGGAGTGAACTCGTATCTGAAAACCATATCTCTGAGTTTTGAGTGGGCGCATGTCGCCAGTGTGCTGCGTTACTGTTTACATGTGTGAAAAATGTGTTTGAAAACGAGTCTGATTGCAATATTTACAAAGTAATACAAACAGATCCAAGAAGCACAAATGCAAGCAACAGATTTGTGTATATTTTTCTTCACTTTCCACTTTACCGGGCTTACCCCCCCCCCAAAAAAAAAAAAAAAAAGGCGCGAGCGTGGAGTTGCTCTTGAAGTCTCCAACTGGCACCCATGGACTCCGGCGGAACTCGAGTTAAACCACGAGTACGGAAGATGATGACCTAGTAGATTTTGCGATTGTGCAGAAGGAGGCCGCACTTTACGTGTACTTTGGCCTGCTCGCGGTTGATTTGGTTCACACTTGAGGGGGAAATGTCAGCAGGTGAAAATTGTCTGTGTTCGATCGGCGGTTTAATTGCTACAGTCCTGACTCTATCGGCATTGTCCACCTCTGACGGGTGCGTCCATGTCTCTTGGTGGTTGTGGTTGTGGCTCTCTTGGGTTGTCTGCAGACAATGGGGTTGTTAGATCGGGGATTGTCGTGTCGACGTTTGATGCGAACACCCCTCCTTTCGTCTTGAAACATGTCCCCCGTCTAGCGAAAGCCATCGGAGTGGAGATATCTGGAGAAGAGATCCCTTCTGGTTCAGAGGCTGCACCTCACACCTCGTTTCTGGTGAGTTTCATTGACCCCTTGTGTGCCTTTTGCAGATCAAAGTGGCATTGCTCCACTACTCACAAAATGTGCAAAAGGAGAATGAATCTGCCACTAAAACATGGCAAGATACACCGCCATATTTTTTTGTCTTTTTTCAAGTTTTTTGGATGTCTAGAGTAGTGGAGCGAGGCCCTTTGTATGATTTGCAGCAATTTTGTGCCTGCTTTGCAGCGGTTTTGCATGATTTGCAGCAAGAAGGATGCAAAAGTTTACGATCTTGAGGGCCAGGCATCGTATGGGTCTGACGTGTTTATTTTGTGCCTGATTTGCAGCACTTTTGCATGATTTGCAGCAAAAAGGATGCAAAAGTTTACGGTCTTGAGGACCAGGCATCGTATGCCTTGTTGGTGTGGGTCTGACATGTTTATATTTGGGTTCACGTTTGCATAAGCAGCAAGGGGGGTGGGAGGGAGGAGAGGAGTTGCAACAGAACCGCTATCAATGGTGAGACTGCCTAAATAAATTTCAAGCTTTATGGGGGGCTTGGAAGAGGAGGGGCGGGGGGGGGGGGGGGGGGGGGGGGATTCAATGTGAAGTTTGGATGAGTTACGTCCACTTTTTCTGCCCCCTTTCAGGCTCTTTCAATTTTGGTTGCATTCCAGAAAAAAAGAACAACCTCAATTTAAACTTTAAACTTTAAAGTTTTTAAACCGCCGGAAACGTTTCCCAGCCATCTTCCCCTGACACGCCTTGCACACTGCCACAGCTTTCGGGGGTGGCAGCCGGAGCAAAGTGCCCGGCACCGCCAGCCAAAACGAGGCCCATGCGCCAGTTTGTTTTTTTTCTTGGGGCGCGCAGGGCTTCTGGAGCCCCGGGCAAAAGTGGCCCAGACTTATTGGTGGTTTAATTTATGTAAATGAAATCCCTGATGTTTGTGTGGGTCTGCAGTACTTTTTTGAAGTTTTTTCTATGTGGCTGGTTGTTTGTGTTCATTTGCATTGCAGTACTTTTTTTACGTGGTTGTTCGTTTGTGTTCATTTGCAACAGATTGCTATCAATGTGGAGAGTCAATGAGACCTTCAATGGAAAACTAAATAAATAAAGTTCAAGTTTTCAAGCCTTTTATAAAAGGTGGGGGGGGGGTAGGGGGGGAATACAGCAATGTGAACCCTGGATATAGCCAGGTATGGCCACTTTTTCTGCCCTCTTTCAGTGGCTTTTCAGTTTTGATTGCGTAATTTGTCTAAATGGAATCGCTGACGTTTGTCTGCGTTCACATTATTTTTTCCACTTGCTTGTTTGTTTGTGTGTTCATTTCCAATCATGGCATTCAGTTGCTTTCAGTTTTGATTGTGGAATTTGTCTAAATGGAATCACTGACGTTTGTCTGCGTTCGCATGATTTTTTCCACTTGCTTGTTTGTTTGTGTGTTCATTTCCAATCATGGCATTCAGTTGCTTTCAGTTTTGATTGTGGAATTTGTCTAAATGGAATCACTGACGTTTGTCTGCGTTCGCATGATTTTTTCCACTTGCTTGTTTGTTTGCGTGTTCATTTCCGATCATGACAGTCTTTGCACTCCGCTTTCGATTTGTCTGTTCTTTCCTTTCTTTTTTTTCTGGTGTTTTCCGCTTGTCACTCCGCAGGCCTGGTATCCCCTTGGCGAGCTTATCCATCACGCTTTCTTTGTTCGGTCCAAAGCGGTTCCGCCTTTCCCTGGAGATTTCAAGTTGCCGAGTCTGCAAGTCTCCAGGGTGGAAATAGTGGGGAAAGAAAGCAGGAGTGGGAGTGAGGAATTGATGAAGGGTTGGCGTCGACTACATGTCGTCTTCGACTTGGGGTGGGCACAATTCTGATCCTGAAAAGACCTGTTGTTCTCATCCTGGGAACCCTACCTTTGTATGGTCTTCCTCTGTTTTTTTTTTTTTTTTTTTTTTTTTCCCCTCCTAGGGTGCGAGGCCCTCAGGCCTCACCTGGTGGGGGACCCTAAGTGAAGGCCTCAGCAGGGGAAGAATGGACTTTCAAAAGGGGCCTCGCACGTCCTGAAAATGGCCTCCGCCAGGTAACTACCTAGTAGGCCCCGGGGATGGATCTCGGCCAGTCAGGTACCTAAGCCGGGACTCAGACCTGTAGGTACTGCATACCGGGAGGTCCAAACCCCGGCCTGCCAAGCCAACAAAAGCAGCGGCCAGGCGGGCAAAGTACATTGGGCAGTGGGCACTTGCAGGCGGCAGCGTTGGGAGTTTGGCCAGCGGAGACATCAGCACCCAGGGAAGCAGATGCTAGCGGTGCACTTGCCGCGTGTGCACACACCCTACTGTCGTCGGTCGAATTGAATGTCTGGTCATTATCGCTGTATCTAGACTGAAAATTGCCCCAAATTGCATTACCGGGCGTTCTATTAGGGTGAAGACGGTAGCAAGAGGGGAGGGAGGTGCCTTCGTGGGATTCAGACATGAACGTCTGCTCTTCGAGCCGTAAGGTTGCCACCGCATACTTCGAATTTCAAAAGATGGAGCGCGGTGAGGAGAAGGAAGCAAGGTGGAAGGGGAGGTCCTTGGGAGGAGGAGGAAGGGTGTGGGGACGGTCAGATACCTACCTGATGTACGGTGGGAGGCGTAGGGAGAGATATGGTTCGTGGGTGTTGCTCGGTAGCATACATGCTGTAGAGAGATGAAGAAATGAGGAAGAGAAGTGATGATCAAGTTAGTGAGGAAGAGAGAAAGAAGATAAAGAAATGAGAAAAGAAGCAAAAAAAGAAAAAAACTTAAAAAAAGAAAAAAAAGGTATTCAATAGAGTTGGCTGTGGCAAATGACTCACCAGTGCACTTTACATGCTTTGCACGCCATTTGATTCAGCTAGAGAATCACCTGGGGCGAGATCCCGCTAGCAAAGGATTGGTTTGTGGATAGGTGCAGAAAATTGCAATTCATCTGCTTTTCTGCACCGCTGCTAAGTTAAAAGTTAAAACCCATGCAGATTCAGGCATTGAATAATCAAATCCTGTTTGTGAGTGAGACCTTTGCCCCTACTGCCCCTTCTGCATACGTAATACGTATGTGATATGTGCTACATCCTTCTTGTTCCCCCTTTTTTTTTCTTGTTTTTCAAAAAAAATGTCTTTCATTCTCAATTCTGGTCTGATCCATTCGTTCCCAGAGTTCTGAAAATGAATCTTATTACAAAAAAAAAAAAAAGCATCTTATGAGGAAGTCAATTCAAATCACCAATTCGCCACAGCATTCCAAGCCTGTGGGCCAATCGTCGACTGGAACAATTCACCGCCACAGTCACAAAGTCTCAGGGCCAAGCGCGACTGGTATTTTGTGCTTCGGGAGCATGCACCTGGTTCTTAGCATAGCCAGATTCATGCTTTCAAAGCATGAACATATCTTCAGTGGAGCCAGACCCACGATCTCAACTTCTCAAGTATTCAGGGCGAAGAAGGTATTTCCCAACTTCTAAAACCATATTCCGCAATGTCATTCAGAATCATCCTTCTCAGTCTGCTTGCCGACTGTGACAAAACATAATCAGTAAGAAGTTTACGAACTGCGAAAATTCAAAATTCGGATTGCTCTCTCATCGGATTGGGCTCATTCTTTTCTGACTCTCTTTCCCTCTAAGTAGTAGCATTCTGCACTCGTGCTTTTCCTTCTCTTTTTTTTTTTTTTTTTTTTTATTTAAATAAATAATAAAATTATCCTTCTTTACTTCAAATCGCAAAAGGAGGCCGGGAATCCCTCCACATCTCAACCCGGCATCACATACGGAGGCCATTTCTTAGCTTAGGATTGGCGGGAAACCGGGTGCATGCTTTTCCTACTATATTTCCATGTAAACCACAAGTGCTTCCTAAAGTTGTGCCCGTTAACAAGCCCCTACAATTTGAGGAAACGTACGGGCCACTACAGGAGCACCGAAATTCATCCGACTAGAAGCGTGTTACATGCTGCGCCTGCACACGAGGGCCATTTTCTGGGCCCTGCGTCCCTCAGGCTGAAAGCCTGAAAACCAGGGCCTACAGGCCCTGTGTCTGTTCAGCTCGAAAGCCTGAAAAACAGGGGCCCACAGACCCTGTGTCGTTTCAGACTAAAAATGGCAGCCTGAAACGAAGGGCCATTTTCGGTCTTTCATCAGACTGACCTGCCCTGAAACTCAGGCACCAAACCAGGGTTTTAGGAACAGGCTATTTTTGGCCTGTTCCCACGACAGCTGCAGCGCCAGACCCTGGCTCAGTTTGGCATTGGCAAGCCTCCTGGACTGCCCGCCCTGCAACTGCAGGCAGTCGGAGGCAGTCAGGAGGCAGGCCGAGGTAGTACATAGGGACTTCCCATGCACTTCATGGGCAGGCAGGAGGCAGTCAGTAGTCTTCAGGATTCGGCAGCAGCACTCTGGAGGACCGCTGCAGGAGTAGTAGTAGTAGCGCTAGCAGTAGTCTTCAGCGCTGGGCGCTAGTAGCGTAGCTGTAGTCTTCAGCGCTGGGCGCCATAGCAGCTAGAGTAGTACTAGAGAGAGAGAGATTGGGCGGACGCCAGGGATACTTACCTGCAGCGCCATTGCTCCAGCTTCGTCTTCAAGGTACCTGCAGCACAGCGCCATCTTCACAGGCTAGTTCCTGGCACATGAGAGACAGAGTTCTTCTTCTTCCTCTTCTCAGTCCACCATCTCCTTCTCACCCTCTCGCTATCTGACTTCACTGCATCAGCAGACTACGAGAGAGAGAGAGAGGGAGAGCTTGGTGACATTTGGATCCAGACTCGACATGGGACTTCAGACATTTTGAAGAGGGATTATTTGGGACTTGTAACGAGACTTGGGGTTGACGACTTTCCCATCTCCCCCTTCCTCTTCTTCCTCTGATCCCCTCCTCTTCGTCTGTGTATGTCTGGACCTGGCGCCTCTTTCCTGTGTATAGCACCAGGCCCCTTCACACCTTGTGATGAGCATGATGTATGTTTGGTCTGCGTTGAAACATTGATTGGGCTAGTCATTAGTGCTTCGCTATCTTGTACTACGTGAAAGAGGTCAGTCCCAGTCAGGTCAGGACTTTTATCTAAATCTTCCGCTGCGCTATAAAACACCATTTTGTATGTATCGGAATGCACATTGCTTGTTGAGATTCCACTTGCACTGCATTGTCCATTCAGTCCTTTTTATCACATTGGGATCCTCGGTTTATATGTACATCGCCCAACTGGGCATGTAACAAACGCCTCTACTTTATTTTTTTCCGTGGCCGATAGCTGGGCCCAGTACTGGTGGTTTAAGAAGCATAAAATAGCATTCCTAGTATTTCATACAACAATTGTTAGTCTTAATAGTAAGTAATCCTTAGTAATTAATTTTTACCAGTACTTCCTAAAGTCGTGCTCGTTAACAAGCCCCTACATTTTACGGACATGTACGGGCCACTACAAGAGAGCCCAAATTCATCCGACTAGAAACGTTTCTACTCTATTTGTTTCTGCGGCCGATAGCTGGGCCAAGTACTGGTGGTTTAAGAAGCATAAAATAGCACTTGTACAACAATTATTAGGTCTTAATAGTAAGTAATGATTAGTAATGATAAGTAATCCCTCTCCATCCCTATTGTGGGCCTCCAAAAAAATTCAGTCAGAGCGGTAGTGTGGCCGTGTATTGTCTTTCCCCATTGTTTATCGTGCGTTGTGCTTGCGCTGATAGATGGCCACTGTTTCTTCCCGTTGATCTGATGTCTCTTCTTTTGATGCCATTTGTTATTACAGACCATCGGTGACCTGTCCTTATTACCTTGTTCACCTTCTCCTTTTCTTCCGTCTCTTCTCTGTGCTGGTTCTTGCCTCTTTTTTTTTCTTTTTTTTTCTTTTTTTTTCCCCTTTGCCTCTTTGTCCCCCCTTCTTCCCTTCTTCCATTCCGTCATCTTTTCTTAGCTGACGTCATCACTTCCTCCCCCTCTTCTTCTTCTTCTCCTTTTTTTTCCCCCCCCTCCCTTTCCTCCCCCTCTTGGTTCTCGGAATAGTGTATTCCCGTTTTTCTCTGTCCAAATAGCCGTTTTCATGGTTATGCCGGACCTGGACCTGGACACAGCAGGATGTCCAGCCAGACTGACGTCCGGAAAAGAGAGAGAGAGAGAGAGAGAGAGAGAGAGAGAGAGAGAGACAGGGAGTCTCTCTCTCTCTCTCTCTCTCTCTCTCTCTCTCTCTCTCTCTCTCTCTCTCTGTGTGTGTGTGTCTGTCTCTGTCTCTGTCTCTGTCTCTGTCTCTCTCTCTCTCTATATATATATATATCCCTCTCTGCCTACGGTTTACCGGGCAGTTCTATTTGACGATATATATATATGTATATATCGCAAACACACGCACACACACATACACACTCACAGCTCTCTGTCTTGGCAGGTTTGAGCGGCTAGGATCGGGCTTGTACTAGCGAGCTATTCTCTCTTTTTGTGGTTGGATATGTCTTGTTGGTGTTGTTGATTATACACGGCCTACTTCTTTGCCCTGCTTTAGAGCATGGACTGTTTGGATGTGTATGGGTGGCCACGAGTTCTCTTTGGGGGGAATGTATATTTTGTGGGCCGGCGTGGAAGGCCTTCCCAGTTTTTTCGGACCCTTACCAGCAGAGGGCGGTGCGTTCTTTCTGGAGGAGTCGTCTGTCTTAGGTTTAAGTTCTCTTACCTTCTTTTTACTCTTTGGTAGTGATGCGAGCGTATAGTTTGAGATGAATGTCGGGAATGCCAATGCTGTTATATTTGTTTGTTTGTGRTAAATGAGTTTTTGGTTTTGTGGGCCGATACGGAAGGCTCTCCAAGTTTTTTCGGACCTTTGAGGGGGTCGGTCGGTGCCTTCTTGCTGGAGTAGCCTTCTGTCTTAGGTAAGTTGCCTTCTGCCCTCCATCCCCTTATGGACTTTACATATGTATATGTGCAAGTGTGCCGCTTTGGCAGCTGATGGGTGTGCAGGCACTTGGCGCTGAACCACACAAACATGGCTAAGCTTGCATTTTCTATTATAATGCTCATCTATACTTTTTCGTCATGGATGGCTTGTGATAATTTGTGAAGGGAATGAGAGAGAGAATTTGGGGTCTTTTAACACCACACACACACACACACACACACACACACACACACACACAGAATCAGTCTCAGCCCGGACCTGTTTGGCTTTCTGAAAGGGCCAGAAAATAGTTAAAAAATCCCAAAACATTTTTTTGGGCGGTGTGCATTGAACAACCCCGTCCCCCCCCCAAAAAAAAACATTTTTTTTTTCAGGGCGTTCTCACACCAGGACTTTTCTGGATGCATCGGACTGCAATTAGGATGCGCACTGGGTGCATCTGACTGCAATCATGTCCAGAGCTGAGTGGAAAAATCCTAGTGTGAGAATGACCTCAGTCAGAGGCTGATCGCAAATTCATGAATGCATAATATGAATTGCAGGTCTGCCAAGCAGGTTTGGGTATCAGCAATCAACGTGACTGGAGCGCTGACAAAGTGGTCGATAACGGACGGCCAGCTGCCAGGTTAGTTCATTTCACTTGGCCATCTTTTGTCCATTTTGATGTTTCTTCGACATCTCGACTCTTGAGGTGTCTTCCTGTCCCATTTCCCTGCTCTGCCTTTGCACTTGCGAGCACCGTCTTCTCGTTGACATACACTACGGAGAACTCATGTTTATACGGCAGAAAGTCCACTTGAGTGTGGACGAGTAGAGTAAATCAGCAGGCTTGCGAGAGGCGCCGCACGGAGCATCTGCTCTTCGCACGGAAGCTACGAATTGTGATGATATGGTCCAATCCCCCTGATGGGGACATGCGGAAGCGTGCATTGTTTTCGGGAATGTTTCGCTGTGCGTAAGCAGCGTAACTTCCTTTGCCCATCCCTCTGCCTTTGCTCCGTTTTTTTTTCTAAGAAACGGAAGCTACCAATTGTGAGATAATCCTCCTTATGTGAGGACATCCATTGAAATTGGAACGATACAGAGGGGGGTATAGGGGTGGTCTAGGGGGTATGGGAGGCTGTGCGAGGGTATTGGGGGGGTGGTTTGGGGGTTTTGAGGGGGTGTATGGGGGTATTGGGGGTATTGGGGTCGGGCAATTATGGCGGTGTTGACGAGGTTATTGGGGGTTCTGGACCCAAATAAATAAATAAATAAATAAAAATTGCGGGGTGCCGACGACCGCCGACCGGTCGGCTGGTCGGCATCCGACCAGTCAAGGGGCACCGACCGTCGGGGTGTGCAACACTGGATGAGACGCATAAATCGAGAAATGCTCCAAATTGCGGGGCCACCAGCTGTGCTGCCCAGGTCCCCAAAGCTGGCACGGGACCTGCCCAGGACGTCCGGTCGGGGTCCCGGGCCATATCCCACCAAAAAAAAAAAAAAAAAAAAAAAAAAAAAAAAAAAAAAAAAACACGAAGATAAAGTATGTTGTGCACACCAACAAATCAAAGTTACCAAACAACTTTATAAAAATAAAAACAAAGCAAGGAGGATTATCTCACACCCGTGGAAGGCCTTTCAACCCCTTCCAAGCCCCTTTAGGCCCTCCCCTCCCCCCCCCTCCTCCCCACACCCTCCAACACTGACATGAACCAAAAACAAATATAAGACCGGATTTGCATACCTCTTGGAGGGCACAAAACAGCCCCATCATCAGGGGGGAAAAAAACAAAGTTTTGACAGTTTTTTTCACTCGCCCGGGTGACCGGGTGGGAGGGTCCCAATCGCACTGGCTTATACGGATCTGGTAGCCCAGCCAAATTGGGGAAAAAAAAACAAAAAAAAAAGAGGATACTGCAAGGAAATGAGCAATGTGAATGACAATGAAGTTGAATAAAACCAAATCGCAGCATTCCACGGAAATCCAGATATTAACTTTGAGCAACAAGTGGTTAACCATATTAACCACGGGAAACACTGTAACCTGCTCTCCTTTGAGTTTGAACTGAAAGCAGATTGCAAGCCGAGATAACACCGAACAAGTATATGAGCGAAGCATTGGAATCACATGATAATGAAAGGCCCCTTCTCACCTCCAATCACCAATGTCAACAAGGTAGCTCTCCTATGTTGGCGATCGGCACCCAGGCTACAGACAGACAGGTCCTATGACTCCTAGCTACAACAGGTCTGCACTGAGGTCCTTCAGCCAGATGACGAATGAAGACTCCGAGTGAACGGCCAGCTTCTTCTTCACCAGGCGAGTACCTCATCGCAGCGCTCGGACCCCGTCTTACCCGACCACTGTCCTCATCCCCAAGGACCACCGCTATTCCTCCACTCGCCTTCTAGGTGCCCTGCCCGGCTATGGCTGCGCCCAGTCACACGCTGCTTTGCCGCGCAGCTCCTCCTTCCCCTGGCCGGGCTCTCACGTGTGTGCTCCAGCACTGCTGCCGCATGTCCAGTGAGCTAGAATGCACTAAGTGAGGCAGCCTCACTTCCTTTTGTGTTGGCGGCCAGGCTCGTGGCCTGGCTGGATTGGCTGCACCCTGGGCCTCTTCCAGAATATGCCAGGGACCTAACTGCCTGAGCCCTGGGCCCCAGCATCTTCAACCAACGGCGGGATGAGCTCTGCCGGTTGGTTGGAAATGCTGCTTGCCTCAACCAACCCCGGGGGGCCTATGACAGAGATTCCTATCGCCCATGGTCGTATAGTCCTATTTGCTTTTAGTCCTTAAGATCATGGTGTGCGGCCTGAAGTAAGACCAAGGCCAAAATGTGCAGATCCGCCTTCTCTTAGGCCAGGCAGGGCCTTTTTTTCCATCGTGCAGAGGGGCTCATTCCTCACAATACCTTGGATGAATCTCAAATCACGAGCGCATTTTGCTCCCCTAGACCAGCATCGACTCAGCCGCAAAGCAATGAGCAGAAGAGACACAGCAATGATCGCAAACGTACCGAACTTTGACTATATATATAGTCGGTGAAACTCCGACAAAACAGTTTGTCACAGCCCCTCATTTGTTGTCCTCTTCTCCCTCTCTGCCTACGGTTTACCGGTCAGTTCTATTTGACGATATATACCTCCAATCCTTTTCTTCGAATTTCCTTTTTAAGCACTGATTCGGGAAAAGAATTCAACCCTGTACTACAAGACCCCGTATTGGCTATACATCCTCCTTATATATATAAACAGTTTGTCACAGCCCCTCGTTTGTTGTCCTCTTCTCCCTCTCTGCCTACGGTTTACCGGGCAGTTCTATTTGACGATATATATATATATATATTCCCTC